TACTATCGTTATCTTCCCCTTCGTCTCCGCCATCTTTGCGCAGCGTTTTTTCTCGAGTAACTCCTCTTTCTCTAACTTCTTACTAATTCTGAGTTCAGGAACGGGGTCGCCTGCCCCGAAACCCCCCATCTTCGTTCTTCACTCGGCTTGCAAAGAATTGCTCGAGTTGTCCATCTCCCACTACGTCATGCCCATTCACATCGCCTTCGCCACCTTTGTTTTCTTTATTACCGGATGTACCCGGTGCGAAATCGTGCCTAGGTCCATCCCTCTTTATCCCCCCTCTGGTTACTGCGTCCCGCCGCCCGTCCGCTCCTTCCATACGTTCGTGGCCTCACCTTCCCATCGACCGTTCACCCTTTCCCCCCAAGGTTGTGCCTCGTCGCATTGCCCTCTTCTCCATCTCTACGGCCAGCCCAAGCTCCGACGAAAGCAGATTCACAGTGGCTGGACTGGCAGGGGCACGGTCAGCTATCCCCCTGGAAATTTCAGCAAGAAGTTGCTATAGGGTGATTCGATTAGTCTTTCGCCCCTATACCCAATTGGTCGCCGCCCGGCAGTAGCCGGCACGGGCTGCATCTGGGCTCACTTCCTTTGTGTTAACGGAGCTCTACTACAGCGGCGCACCGGCATGATCTGCCGCTCCGACTGTCGTAATGAGACGGTGAGGGAAGTCGATCATCAGACGACTCGATTAGTCTTTTTGCCTCCCGTATCCAAGCCCAACTGCCAACCTAAGGGCCTGCTCCCTTTACTCCGCCTTGGCCTTCGTTATGCTGCTCCTCAGGCACTCCACGGCTTCCGCTGTGCCACTCCCTGCGCAGATCTTGGTGGTAGTACCAGGCAGTTGGATGAGAACCCCTCGCTGAGCTAGTATGGGAACAGGGTTCCACGCGAACAGTCACTGCATCCAATAATGCTGCGGGCCCCTCGACGGCGCCTTGGGCCATTTGTACCCAGGCTCAGTCCCGTCTATTGCGTCCAAACGGGCACGTTCATACTCAAGACCTCTCACAGTAGATGGCGGGGCAGACCGTATACCCGCAATGAACCCTGCCACCCTCAAGCTGCACCCCCACAGGCTCGCCCGGAACGTTCTTCAATTTCCTTCCACTTTAGGCTATCGGCGCTCTCCAAGTGGGAAGTGGGGGAAGCCACAACCGTGAACCTCACCACTCTCACGCACGTTGGCCTCCCTTGGTCCTCGTTCTCAACGACGACATGATAGAAGAATTTCGCCAGCATCCCGAATACGCACGAACCCGTAGGTCAACCAAAGGAGGCACGCGCTCAAGGTCCTTGACTGCCGTGACGGCCTAAAACACCGGCGCCTCGTCCGTGTCAAGAAATGCTGACGTATATAAAAAATAATAATAATAATAATAATAACACAAATAATAAAATAATAAAATATCTAAACTTTCAATCATCAGAATACGGTGAACGAGGGAAAAGAGACCGCTAGTATCGTTCTGACGCCTCCTACGACAAAACCAAAGGGGATGGTCCCGCCAGGCTCTCAACCCTTTGGTCCCCCTTCGCACTACTCTGATATCCCCACGTTGTCGCCGCTCAACCTCGGTCCCTGAATCTCTTTGACGAAGTCTGATGCCGTAACCGCCAGTGCTAGGCTCAAGTCTTAGTCTAGCTCCGACGGACACCTAAGTTAAACCAATACTGCGCGACGCGCAGACCTACCGAAAATGCTTCAAAGCCTCCTCGTTGTCGATGCCGCCCTCCGCGCATATGCACAATTCACAAGCAAGCGCAGCAATGACTGAGACATAATCTTTTTAATCTTAGTTTAATCAGAAAAATTAAAAAATTTGGCCAGCGACGAACGCCGGTTTTCACAATCATCAATCAAAAAGTAAAAAGATCACACGCACCTCCAATGTGCGCGCCCACACACTCTCTACTCTAGTCAACCATCCAGTCAACGTAAACTATAGACACGGCCGCGACTCGCGCGGTGTACTCACTCTTTAAACCAAACTTACTTTCTGTCACTTGCAAAACCCAGTGCGGTTACCCTTGTAAGGGTATTCGCACCGGCAACGGGGACCGGTCTCGTACCAGTTTTCTGCTGCTGTACTCGTACTCAGTGTGACTTGCTGTTTCGTCATTCGGAATCCAAGACTTCGACTTTGTGCCTTGCCACTGTGTCTGCGTCCGACCCTCAGTCCGAGTCAATCATGTCGAGTGAGTGAGTGTGTGTGTGTGCTCTCACTCTCCCCCTCTCTCTCTCCTCTCCCTCGGCTCACCCTCAGCCTCATGCTCGTCACACTGGTATCGGAGCTGTTCGAACCCGCCCGACCCACCCTGCTTCATCGCCATCACCTGGCCATCATCAGCATCATATTCGTGATCGTCATCGCAGTGCCACGTCATCGTCGCGATCGTCGCCGTCGTGCCACGTCATCACCGTCATCGTCACAATCGTCGTCGTCGTGCCACGTCATCATCATCGCGATCGCCGTCGTCGTGCCATGTGACCATCGCCGTGCCCGTCGTCCTCGTTGCCACGCCGTGCCATCCTTGTCATCGTCGTTGCTACCCCGTGCAGATAAGTAATCGACGACAATTTTCTTTTTTTTATTTTTCTTATTCTTTTCTTCCTCTTCAATTCTTCTTCTTCCTCTTCTTCTTCTTCTTCTCCTTTTCATCTTGGTCTTCTTCTTTTCATCATCTTCTTCTTCTTCCTCCTTTTCTTCTTCTTTTTTTGATCTTCTTCTTCTTCTTCTTCTTCTTCTTCTCTCCCACCGTCGTGATCCCCCCTCGACTACGATTCCCCCCCGATCCCAATTTCCCCTCGCGCAATCCCATCTTCCCACCCCGCGCGCAAACTCCCCACCCGATCCCGCTCCCCACACCGTCATTCCCGACTGTGCGTTCATCTCCC